TCCTCAAACATCAAATGGCGCATCCCCAAAACCCCAAAACCCCATAATTTTTATTTACAGTGACTTGATAAAAATAAGAAAAACAAATTATTTTAACAATATTAAAATGATTAAATTTCCCAATTAGAATAAGCAAGTGAGCTAAGAAATAAACTCTAAGCAATCTTAGCCGACTCCTAAGCAATCATTTGATAAGTTTTCTAAACATCAGATAAATAATGCTTACTAGATGCAGAATGATCTCGCTGTAATGAGATCTAACTCTTCGTTTGAAAAATAAGTTCAAAATTTATCAGCAAAAGGAGTTGTAAACCCAAATGGACTAGGCTATTATAGAGGCATTATAAGTGGTTTCAGTAAATCAAGAGAGGTAAACAAAATAAGTAACTAATCATCAATTCAGCATTAAGGTCATTTTCATATGAACCAATAAATGGAATAGAATTATAAACTCCCACAAATCCCTATGCAAAATCAAATCCTAGGAGTGAGAGGAATCGCGAGTCCTTAATCAAACAGTTAAAAAGAATAAATAAATCACAAATTAATGATAAATCATAATAATATAAAAAAGAGTACTACTGTCGACATTCAGCCTGAGGTGATTTAATACTAGAGACAAGATCGAAGATCTTCATAATAAAAGTAATTTAAGAGTATATTTAACAACAATAGATACTTCAATCGAAAAATCTCGCAAAGTAATAGTAGTAATAATGTTGGAATCGCATAGTATAGCCAATAAGTAGAGAAAGCCAATTTAAAGGGAAAAGAGTTTCCTCAAGACAGTTACTTACAATATGAAAAAACTAATAGAGTAACTTCTGATAAGAATCTCTCAGGTAAGGATTCAGGGAAATTCACGAGCAATCGAGCAATGATTGGAAATATAAGCAGTCAGCATGACAAAATAAATCATCGGGCTCTGAGTGATGATTATTTTCCTGATGATTTGATTGATAAACTTGATGATAATGAAGACGATGATGATTTTAAAGCAAGTGGAGTAGAAGAAAATCTTATGTACTTAGACTAATTAGGAGGGCCAGATCAAGGGTATGATGATTAAGATGAGCCAGAGGAGGAGGATGATGATGTGATCAATGATGATCAAGTTGTAATGGAGGAGGATAATGATGATGATGATATGTCTGAAAGGGATGTCAAGAGTAATGTCCAAAATTCTACAAAAGCAGACGCCTAAAGTAAAACGTCTACCACCGCATACACTGACAAGGACACAAAAGTTAAGAGGAAAAAGACATAAGTTAAAAAGAAATCTGTTGTAAGGAGCAAGAAACAGCCTTATAACGAAGGAGCTGAAGAAACCAAAAACTGGCTTGCCGATAGTTAGACTAATTTTGATTAGCAGCAAATAGAAAATTTTCAAACCAAGATATCATCTGACACAGTTCAACTAAAGCAAAGTTAAAATGAAATGTAAAGTACACCAAATAACATGATAGCATAGGTTGCTAAGCCAAAACTTAAAGAAGCCTTTCTGTAGAGGCCACCTAATAATCAAGTAATGCTTTTGAAATCCTAGTTCAACAAAAGACCACCAACAATATTTTTCCCCTATCCATAATGCTTGAAAATTAAACGAACAGTAGATGGAGGTGAGGATAGATTTATTAAACTAACTTAAGAGGATTTAAAACCTTACTCAGTCCTAGGTTTCAAGATTAATGACTCAACTCACACTTATAACTGTGTAGTGAATTCACTCAAATCGGCTGGATTTAGATTGGTGAGTGGTTCAGCTTGGAACATTCTTTGGACAGGATTAATAAAGGCTAATAAGCTAAAGAATATAAACTAGTATCAGAAAATAAACCACTTTCCTGGTGCCTGGCATCTTGGGAGGAAAGACAATATGTGGAGAAATGTCTTTAGAATGAAGAGGGGTTTTGGTTAAGATTACAATATCTGTCCCACAACTTATATTTTCCCTGAGGACTATAAAAGATGGATAAATGATAGAGAAATGGAGGGATATAAACATATGTATATTATGAAGCCAACTGCCTCAAGTTGCGGAAGAGGTATCAAGGTCATTGGAAAGAAATAACATGTAAATAAAAGATCAGGTTATTTAGTGTCAAAATATCTTGCCAAACCTCACTTACTGAGGGGATTTAAGTATGATTTAAGAATTTATGTGCTAGTAACATGCTTTGATCCATTAAGAGTATATCTCTTTGAAGAGGGTTTGGTAAGAATGGCAACTTAGTAATACACAACAGGAAAGGGATCATTATCAAAAAGATTCATTCATCTTACAAATTTCTCAGTAAACAAAAAAGCGCAAAACTATGTACCGAATCAAAATTAAAATATAGAAGCAGCTGGAGATGAAGCTCCTAATTCATCAAAATGGTGCTTAAAACAGCTTAGACAAGAATACAGCAAGCTAGGAATTGATTTCGCTGATGTTTTTGATAGAATTAAAGATGTATTAATTAAAACTTTAATTGCAGTCGAGCCACATATCGTTACAAACATGAAATAAACTAAACATAGAAACGCTTGTTTTGAGCTTTATGGTTTTGACATAATTTTAGATGAGAAGCTAAAACCTTGGCTCCTAGAAGTAAATGTATGCCCGTCACTAAGTAGTTCAAGTCCATTAGATAAATAAATTAAAACAATGCTTTTAAGTGATATACTTCATCTAGTAGGTCCTCAGATGTATGATCGTAAAAAACATGAAAAAGAATAAGAGAGAATCAACAAATAGAGACTTTTAGGATTTGAATCTACTCAGAAAAAGCAGTAGCAAAATGGTAAAGCATCAAATGATAAAGCTCCAGCACTAGTAAATGGAAATATTAGTCTCATTTCATCACCTTAGAAACAAGACAAGTAATTCTTTGGGGTATTCAGTAATTCGCCAGATAAATAAAGAAAAATTATCCAATACGCAGAGGAGTTATGTGATGATGATTATGATCTTTTAGCAGATCTTGAGGAGGAAAATTCTAGAAGAGGTCATTTCAATAGAATCTTCCCATTAGCAAGTAATGTTGATACTTATTCAAAATACTTTGAATCGTAGCGTCATGCAAACTAAGTTCTGTGGAACTATCTTAAACTTGGGGCGCCAGTTAACCTTGTAAAAAGTCACTATAAATGAGTAAATATATAAAATTTCTGCATTATCCTTTAATTTCTCTATGTATAAAGACTGCAAGATATATCTATCACTAATAAGATAAAATTAATTTGTTTAATTTGACTAGTTTTTATTTATTCCTATATGTGCGAAATTGATATTAGACGGGGTTTTGGGGTTTTGGGGTTTTGGGGAGATCGGAAG